CGTGAGATATGATCTGTTGAAATTTGAGAAACATCTTTTATAAGGATATATAAGGTTTTAAGATCTTTATCATACATTTGGATATTTTCTTGGTACTTGGGCTTGTGTTCTGATGTAATTGCCTAAAAAGAAAAAATATCATATATATAATTTGGTATTTTTATATCTTAGACTTGATTGAATATTTAGTGGTAGCCAGAAGCCTAGCGCTTTCTTGAGGCAAACTCTCTCTACTCCGACACTGCTAGTTAGATTGAAGTAATTTTTTTTTAAAAGTAGTCAATTTGATTTCTAATAAGTATGTAAAGTTTGGAAGTAAAGTAATGGTTCAATTAGGAGTAATTGGCTCTAGGAGATTGGCATCAAGGTTAGAGAAGTAAGCCAGCTGATACTTAAATACATTTTTGAGATTATTGTCTATTTGATAATTTTGATCTTTTTCAATTTTTTTTGTACTTATTTTTAACTTAATTAGTGAAGAATGTATAAAATTTGAGTTGAAATCAATGGTTCAAACATTAGTTATTGAATTTCAAAATCTATTATAAGGTTGTTAGAAATTTGTTTGAGATTTAAAAAATTGATTAGGATTTGATTAGGATTAGGATTTGATTAGGATTTAGATTTTGGTTAAGATTAGGATTTGGTTAGGGTTAGGATTTTGTTAAGATTATAATTTGGTTTGGTTCAAGGTTTACTTTGGATTTCTTTAGAATGTCTTTAGGATTTCTTTAGGATTTCTTAAGGATTCTTTTAGATTCTTTTAAGATTCTATGAGGATTTTTTTGAATTTTTTTAGGTTTTTTTAGGATTTTCTTATGTTTCTTTTATAATTTATTTAAAAAAAAAAATAATAATAATAATAATAATAATAATAATAATTAGACTTAACTGATGCTTGATTATGTTTGTTAAGCTTCTATAGCAATTTATATATGATTTTATTAGAAAAGTTAGGACTTATTGTTGCAAATTCTTTCTATCTTCCACAGCCAAGTGCCTAATATATTCTCAAGCAAGACTTTGCTTAATATGAGAACATGCATGGGAGCAAAAAAAAAAAATCTTGCTAATGCAACAAAGAAGATTGAGTCTTTTTATTGACAACATCTATCAAAATTAAAATAAAGAAAATCTTTGCTATAAAAGAAACAAGATCTAGGAAAAGATAACATTCTATCTACTACTCTTATTTGTAAATTTTGTATATTTGTGATGTTAAGGAGATAAAAAATCAACAATTAGTAGATTGAACTTAATAGCTATGACTTATTGACTTATTGGACAAGACATTGCAATTGTTACAACATTCAAGATGATGTAATCAAGATGAAGATCCTCAAGAACAACATGTCCTTCCTCAAATATATGATAAGATACAACATGTTTTGTTTTTTGAATTTGGAAGAGATTCATGATATTTGGTGATTTTATTAGAGATAAGAAAAACTCATGATGGTATTCCAAATGTTTTATTTGAAGGGAGTTACAAAAGCCTCAAAAATAATCAAATAATAGAATGAACTTTTTTTCCTAATATAAAATATTATAAATGACTAAGAGGACCTATCAACCATCTTCAAAGAAAACAAAGATTAGAGTATGTGGCAAATGCAATATGTTGCATCTTGGATTTTTTCAACATATGATGATCGCTCCTCATAGAACTTGTCTCTAAAAGGAGAAGCAATATCCTAGACATACATATTTACTCTAATATTTTTCTATGTGATTAAGTAGAAGTAGATAAAAATAGATTTATTTTATAATATTTTATAGAAATTCTTTTTAGAAGCTTCATAGATGTTGCTTTGACTTTATATATATATTTGTAATTGTTTGATAGATTAGAAATTTGATCAACAAATTAACTACATGTTAGTAGCTTGCAAAATAAGTTAACTATGTGGCACACATATAGAAAACTTACCTTACAAGTTAAGATATGTATCTTACAAAGTCAACACATTTTGGAGGTCCTATAAGATATTGCCATCTAGCTCTTAATTAAGAATATATATGGAGGCAAGAATAAAGCCTTCTTTACTCTTATCAACGCATTTCTAATCCTTCATCTTATTTCAAGACTTTCTAGTCTTTTTATCTTTGGCAATAGCTATTATAATTTAATATTATATCACCTTTGAATGATTTTTTAGTCTTTTCAAGTGGTATAAGAGTATATTGACATTTTAGTTTTTTGAGGTTCATGTCCTTAACATATATATATTGATGTTATAATTCATTAAAAATTCATAAAATAAAATGGACTTGTATTTATATATATATAATAAATATATATATAATAAATATATATATAATAAATATATATATAATAAATATATATATAATAAATATATATATAATAAATATATATATATAATAAATATATATATAATAAATATATATATAATAAATATATATATATATAATAAATATATATATAATAAATATATATATAATAAATATATATATAATAAATATATATATAATAAATATATATATATAATAAATATATATATATAATAAATATATATATATAATAAATATATATATATAATAAATATATATATATAATAAATATATATATATAATAAATATATATATATAATAAATATATATATATAATAAATATATATATATAATAATATATATATATAATAAATATATATATATAATAATATATATATATAATAAATATATATATATAATAATATATATATATAATAAATATATATATATAATAATATATATATATAATAAATATATATATATAATAAAAAATATATATATAATAAAATATATAATAATAATAATAATAAATATATATAATAATAATAATAATAATAAATATATATATAATAATAAAAAAATATATATATAATAATAAAAAATATATATATATAATAATAAAAAATATATATATATATAATAATAAAAAATATATATATATATAATAATA